ATACATCTGTATACACACTGTCACAGATACTTGTTTTTGAGTGAAGATTTATAATTTATAAATATAAATTTATAAATAACTTGAATCTTTACTGAAGCTCAGTGTTTGGCACAGAGTTCATGTTCACTGCTGTAATGAATCATAATGATTAACATAATAACTGTAATATTGGCCATATTATATTTACATTACCAAAGTGAGATGACTCAGGTAGCTCACATAAAAACAAACAAACAAATGAACAAAAGATTTTCTCCTTCATCTCTGTCAAACACAGCTGTATGACACGTTTCCAGCTGTTAGTATCATGGTTGCTAGGCAACCTGGGCAGCGCGACGGAGGCTAGACCGCCCATTTCACAAGCCTCGCACTTCGGCCTTAGCAGTCTTTGAGTACGCGGCCCTTGTGGACCGTTAAGGCTGCAGACCCTGAATTGGGATACAGCCATGTTGTCCAGAAACATGCCCGCCTTTCCCATAATGCACCTGTCTCAGCAGGACCTCCCTGCCTGGTAAACATGATTCACTACAGGTGAGTCTCACCTTGTTTGGGCGGAGTCTTTGGAGTTGGCTTCTTTATTCTGGCTTCACCTGAAACAAGAACACAGCAGGCGGTCAGACACTTGAACCAGACGTTCAGACGAGCTGTGATGAGGAAACGTGTGGCTGTCATTTCACAGCAGAATCAGATCTACTGGAAACACGATGACTTATTCATGATGTCTTCTAAGCACCTCAGAGCCTTCTCAAAATCTCTGCAACCATCCAAGCAACGAATATTGTTGTACTGCACAAACTGAGCCCTGGACCAGATGATGCAAAGACCCATGAGGGTGCAACAAATTCAATAACCTCATTATGTTACTCTGGAGCTTCCCAACACCTCTGCAACTTCCACAGCGACCTCTAAAACCTGCCTTAACCTATTAAGACCGCATGACACGTGGACAGAGAATTTCAAGGTCTAAACATCCTTAAAACAGTTCCTGGCAAGTGTTCAAACAACCTTTCAAGACCCCTGAAACCTCTTTAAGGAACTTTCTTAAACCTGAAATTATAATAATAAACAACAATAAACAATAAACAGTAAAACCTCTTCACACAAAACCACCCCCGAGACCTTTAATAGCCCCCAAAGACCACTCTGACAGGACTACTGACATGTCAGGTTCATTTAGAATATTTTTACCACCTCCACAGAAACTAAAATGTGTCGGTAAAACAAGGGGATAGCTAACTCCACGGAGACCATTAAACACATTCCTGGTACTTCTGGGAAATTAGTAACCGTTCTTTCAAGACCTCTAAAACCTCACTAAGGAGCTTTAATGAACTTTAAAATCTCCACTGGACCCTCTCCACGGTCCTCTGGAGCGTCTTTAAGACCTTGGCCAGCTCCAACTTTAAACCCTCCATAAACCGATTCAGGAGCTCTGAAACAAGTGGACAATCTCCTCAGTGATCCTGCAGACTTCCTCTGGAACCTTTAAAAACTCCAGAGACGCCTCATCAAGTTTCTACCATGAGACCTCCGAAAACAACTGAGCAGACAGAAACACCTCCCTGCACACACTGTGTCACATTGTTCTTCCTACCTGCAGAACAGTAAAGCTTCATTAACACTACGTTTCCCATCAGACACTGCACACAGACCTGGTGACACTGTAAGCATCTCACTCACAACAAAGATGAAATGATGACACTGAAGTGAGGACATTTACAGAAATGTTCCTCGTTTAGAAAAATCGCACAGACTGAATAAAATATGCACGAAATAAAAACGTGAATGTGCAACAAGAACATCTGAAACTAAGTGAAGAGTGTCATGTAAGTACAGACACGGTTTTCCTGACTGCTTCCACACGTGTGTCTCACATCGTCCTGCTTTGTTGTGTTTTTATGGAAGCAGAAGACTGTGCGACAGGAAACACACAGCTTATACAAGCCTCTCTGAGTTTGTGTTCATGAGGCTGTTTGTCTTCTTCTCTTTTAAATGTTTCTGTCATCAGCTGCTTTTCTTTTTTAGTTTAAGGAACTTTGTCCTCACAAAACATCTAGTAGAGGCAGGAGGAGGAGGAGAAGAATGTGAGACAGACGAAGAGCGTCTCTGATGACCGTACATGGACAATCTAAAAATAGTTCTGCTGGATGCAGGAAATAGTTCCTGGAGTTTGTTTTTCTTGAGATGGCTGCAGATGAAGAGGATAGAAGAATCTGTTCACGCTGTCTTCTTTCTTTGTTTGCTCCTTCAGATGTTTAAGACTTTCCACCTGACCACACCACAAAGTCTGCTGTTACCATCGGTCTGGAGCTCAGGCTCCGTCCTTCCAGCCTCGCTGCTTTGGTTCTGTTTTCCTTTGGAAACACAAACACGAGGATTTTCCAGCACAAAGTTATTTTTGCTCTCGCAGAAACTCACAAAACAAACTTGAAGCTGCTACAGTCGAAAAAAGCAGCTGCTCGCTTCACGCCCCAAATAAAAATGGTGGATGTCATCAAGTCGCTCATGCCGCTGTGACGTCCTTAACACCGGCCACTCAGGTCCCAGTGACGTAGTGACATCATCAGAAGGTCAGCACAAGTTGCACGCTTGGCTGGTTTTTGTTACTTGTCTGCAGAGAAAACACACACGCACGCGCACGGACGCACACACACGCGCACACACGCACGGACGCACGCGCACGGACGCACACACACACACACACACACGTTCCTTCCATTTGGAATGACGTAGTGACATCATCAGAAGGTCAGCACAAGTTGCACGCTTGGCTGGTTTTTGTTACTTGTCGCCCGAACGCACACACACGCACGCGCACGGACGCACACACACGCACGGACGCACGCGCGCACGGACGCACACATGCACGTGCACACACGCATACGTTCACACCTGCTTTGGAAGCAGGACGGTTTGTGTCTCCTGTCAGTAAAGCTTTAAAACAAACCGCCTGGTGAGCCGAGCCTCTCTCTGACCGACACTCCGACTTTCACTTTCATGTGTGAAGCTCTGACCTTTGAACCGCGGTGACTGTCTGAGCTGCAGAATCAGACACTGAACCTTAGTAAGAAGCTGATGAATATGTGCAGGAAACACATTCAGTCTGAGCACTCGACATCAGTGTGTGACCACGCGACGCTTCAGTATGTACAGCGGCCCCTCCCCCGTCTGTCAGCAGGTTAGTATGAGAAAGCTCATGAATGAGGAAACACAAACAGAAGCTGAGCTCTGAATGTCAAACTGTCCTCACAAAGACAGGCGAGCACAGGTCTGCAGCTTTGATATTAATCAGCTGACGGTCAGAGCTGCACTCTGATTGGCTCCTTGCTCTGTCAGTCACAGGAAGCACTTCACTTTTTACTTCTGCACAGAAAGTGAAGAACTCAGTGTTCCTGTACACGCTGTCCCAAAATATCAGCTGCATACCTGCTGACACGCCGCTGCAATAAGAGCCCCTGAAAACATCCCTCCAACCCCCGACCACATGGGGTTTTAACAATGTTTAGCCCCGCCCACTCGCAGCTGCAGACTAAACTGACAGGTGAGAGTGAGCAGCACCTGCAGCAGATGGTTAGGACAGGGAGCAGCCTCTCCGTTTGTCTTGTGCTCAGTCTTTACTGTAACTGTGTTTCAGGGTGGAGGCTGACACATGCACACACGCTGCACCACACAGCCTCCAACCTGCTGCGTGTCTCTAAGCTAACGTGGGCCCAGCAGGCGGACGAACGGCTTCACTCGACACTTCCACGCTTTTAATCAGCACGCAAAGTAAAACAAAGTCTGTCAGAGCACGAGAGTCAGAAACCAGGCCTTAAATGGAAGTGGGAGAGGAGCAGCGCCCCCTCCCCGACATCATCGCCCCGTCCTTCCTCCCTCTGTCTGCTGCTAAAACTCTGCGGTCTCCGAGAAGTGACTGAAACCAAAGCAGGAGCCGAGCTCCGGTCTGAGAAACTCTCAGCTCATGTTCAGGTAGATTCAACTCTGAGTCTGTTCGCATACATGTGAACAGACAGTTAAAGGTCAGGGGTCAGCGCCGTGGAGAGGGTTTCAGCTTTGAACGCAAGAAAAGTGTCTGTGGGCTGTGATATGAACCTGATCAGAGCAGAACAGGACATCCATCCACAGCAGTGAGCCCACTGAGGCACACACACACACACACACACACACACACACACACACACACACACACACACACACACACACACTCTCTGAGCAGGAAGGATTTAGAGTTGGATCATAAAGATAAGAGCAGATTTTCCACTGAGGGCTGCAGACAGAAACATGAAGCTGCTGCATGTCAGAGTGTTTTTGTATGAAGTTACTGTTCAAGCACTCACACATTCAGCGCTGTGCAGATACGGAGAGCAAGAAAACAACAAGTCCAGAAACGTCTCATCCAATAGGAAATGTTTAACTCTTTCATTTATTTGTATCTCTATTGTGATTGTTTCATGAAAGAAACATTTTGGTCACACAACACAACTTACTCAGAGTGAATAATTATTAATCGTAGCTTTGACTTAAACTGTTACAGCCAGGAACTTTTCTACAATATGTTCCTGTTTAAAACCCAAAACCTTTCATTAAGGTGAAACTTTTAAAAGAGCAACAACACTTTCTTTTATTCTGAAGAGTGATCTTAGGATTTCTACCAAAGTAAGACTTTTATCTCTTTGCATACAGAAACATTACGACCAATCAGGACACAGCTACAAACCAGCTGACCAATCAGGACACAGCTACAAACCAAACAAAGTTACTACTTGTAACCAAAAAGTTGTTGTTTGTAGCAGACTGTGTGTTTTAGCCCACAGTGTCTGCAGTTTGTTTCCAGGTGAGACTCATTCATGATGCACAGGTGTGACCCCTGCAAGGAAAGGTGTGTGTGTGCGTGCATGTGCGTGCATGTGTGTGTGTGCGTGCATGTGGGTGCGTGTGTGCATGTGCGTGTGTGTGTGTGTGTGTGTGTGTGTGTGCATGTGTGTGTGTGTGCATGTGTGTGTGTATGTGGGAAGCAGCAGGGCTGATGGGAAACGTAGTGTTAATGAAGGTTTACTGCTCTGGAGGTAGGAATAATAATGTGACAGTGATGAAGGAACTGATGTTTCCAGTGATACACAGAGACTCTTTAAAATAGAAACACCCGCCTGAGTGTGTGTGTGTGGGAACCAGTGATCCCAGCCTGCAGCTCCTTATTGGGACAAAAGAAAAGAGGCTGCTGCTGCATATTTTGGAAACTCACTCTCTGAGGTTGGAGTCGCCTTCTTGGACTTCTTGTCGGCCGGAGAGTTTTCAGCCGGGTCTGCAGGACACAGAGAGACAGAGAGGGAGGAGTTAACACGTGCACACACTCAGGTGCTCTCTGAGAGCTCCACAGCCGTGAACCCCAACACAAACATCAGAAACCCTCCGGCAAACACTGAGCGTTCACCTGCAGAAAATTCATATTTTATTCAAACTGAAAAACAAAATGTGTTTTTACAGAGCTCAGACATTTCACATTCTGCTCTCAAAGATGACGTACATCACTGAGCACATTCACTGAATGCTGCGTGGACCCAGAGAGGGTGTTTGGTAACACGCCGCTCAGTGAGACTCAGCGAGACGACAGAAGTTCGAGTCAAGTTGTGTGAGTGCAGAAAAATGCCACCGGCTTTTTGTGAGGGAAACCAGCGCGGTGCTGCATTCAGGGGCGAACTATCAAAAAAGTCACTGCTCAGACTCAGAGAACCCAGGTACGTAAATAACAACCAGGAGGCATACACGTGTAAGCGTGCACGGGACTCAGTCCAGCCTGAGTTAAGGTCCTTTCACATCGGACGCAGCACAGCGCTGCGCTCTGAAACCCATTCATGTCTGTTGTTTGCCTCGTGCAGCAACGGTTTTCCAGCGCAGCACAAGCACAGGTGCAGCAGAGCGCAGTACTCGCATGAGTCGCACCTTCGTGCTACCAATAGAAACTAAGTTCAACTGCACAATGAAGGAAAGCGTTCTGTGCGTGTCTGAGTTCGGTGAACTGTTTGTCACAGGTTTACGTGCACGTACGGGGAACTGCACAGCTCTGCAGAGGGAAAGCAGCGTTCTGGAAACGACGCATTCTTCACTAGTCAGGACAAAGCTTTCTTCTTTAGGATGAGGGATACGTTTTTATTAAAGGTTTGGACATAATACAACACAAACTGTCATAGAGGACACAAAGCGACAAGGTGCAGGCGCTTCTCGTATATGTAGAGCAGTCGCAAAAATGACGTACAAGCAGAGCGCAGCACAACACAAATTTTGGATCCTTCGCTCTAGTTTGCAGTGAGACATGCTGCGTCTGATGGGCCGTCAGGCTGCAGTCTCTGGGTGCTGTCTGCACGGACCCGGTGCACAGGCGTGAGACGATCCTGGAGGTCTCAGAACTGAACCACAGTGTTCACACAGCCGGACACTTTCTGTGGTCTCTGGAAGTCACTGCTGTCACTTCCTTGACTTCCTGTCCAAACACAACATCACAGATTCACAGCACATGGTGGAGCACAGTTCATCGTGTTTCCATCGCGAACTCTGCCTCTGTCCTCGCCACGTTAGCTCACAGCAAAGAAAGAGCCGAGTGTCCTCGTGCTGCTTCAGTCTCAGGTGTCCATGAGCACCACAGGACTGAGACACACCTGAAACAGCGGCTGCGTCCGTGCTGCAGGCTGGACCACGGCGTCCGTGCTGTTCTGGACACAGCACACAGAGTCTGTGGTGTTCGTGTTTAAAACCAGCTGACTAAGCCCTTTACAAACAGCTGATGTCCTGACGACCAGCGCTAACCTGTCTGCAAACAGGAGCCGATCTTTGATAAAGTCAAACTGTGTTTGTGTTTGTTGGTTCTAATGACAGGAAAGCCAGCTGACCAGCGCTGCAGCTTGTGCTGCATCACTCTTCCAGTCCAAACCACTGCAGCGACCATCAAAGAGAGTGGGCGGGGCTAACATGACCCATGAATGCTGATGTTTGTGTGATCTTTCCAAAGAAGCAGAGCTGCACTGCTGAACAGAGTCGTGTGCTCAGGAGGCTCGACTCATCAGTTGGTGTCTGAGAGTCAGTGCTGATGACGGAGTCAACAAATGTTCGTGGACACGGCAGGAAGTAAACAAGCTCTTTGGTTTAGGACAGATTACGACAAACATATCAGATACATTTCAGATCTTCATTCAGACAACAAAAGTACACTTTAAAGTTTCTCTCACAGTTTGAATGCTTTAAACCTGCGTCTACATCAGGATGCAGGAGGAAGAATAACTGTAGAGGAAAGACCAGAAGAAAAAAAACAGCAGAAGAAGAAGAACATGCGGCACTGAAGGAAAGATCTGAGACAGGACCAAAGCTTTGTTCTCACCGTCTACCAGAACCGTGCAGGAACACTCGGCTTTGCCTGCCGAGTTCTCGGCTCTGCATTTATACTGGCCTTCATCCTCTGGCAGGGCTTTGTCTATGGTCAGAGAGCACAGGCCGCCTGCAACACACAACACAGCACAATATAACGCAACCCACACAGGACACAGTCAGATCAGCACGAGGTCAAGTCTCATTTCTTACATTCCACAAAGTTAATCAATAAAAATGAAGGTATGACTCCTTACACATTTCATTTACTATGAACGAGCTATCAGAGCGTCACGTTCTCCACCCTTTTAGACGCCATGTGAGACTAAAGGCCATCCTCCGCTGCCGGTGCGACATCCTTCAGAAAGGCTTTCTTCTTCCTTCAACACGTGTTAGAACATTTCTTTGCTTCAGACAGAAGGACAAGCATCACACTCCTCTGCCTCTCACTTTGATCAGTGAAAATAAAAGCTTTCCCTGTTAATCAGACTCTGTGACCTGAAAGATGGTTTTAAAAAAATCTTTTAAAAGATTGTTGTTTTGGTCACCTCCGTCCTGTTTGTTCCAATCAGAACCGAGATGTTTAAAACTCGATCGGCCAGCCGAGAGTTTAGGGAACCTGAAGTTTACAGGACTGAAGCGTGAAGTCAAAGAAACCCTCGTAGAGGTCGGCGGGTGATGGACAGTTTCACCAACAACAATACGAGTCTCTAACACTGCCCCCTGGTGACAAAGCACAGCTATCACAGAAACTCACGGATCTGAAGTGACGTTCATACGACCTGCACACGACCAACACTCAACCTCACCCTAACCCTTTTTATTTGTGCTTCGTGATGCTATCGTGGCGCTGAGTTACCATCTATCCATCTTCTTGTCCTTTTCTGGTTCAGGGGAGCAGCAGCCTAGCCAGAGAAGCCCGGACCTCCCTCTGTGAGCCACCTCCTCCAGCTCACCCGGGGGAACAGCGAGGCGTTCCCAGGTCAGCCAAGAGATGCAATCTCTCCAGAGTGCCCTGCGTCTGCCGCAGGGCTTCCTCCCACTAGGACACGAACACCTCGCAGAGGAGGCGTCCAAATTGGATGAACCGCCTCAGCCGGCTGCTCCACTCTGATTCCCTCCTCACCACATCAGTAATGACGAGGCCAAACACCATCTGGAGAAAACTCATTTCCACTGCTTGTTTCTACGATCTCATAATCTCATCTGCAAATTTCATAAAAGAGGAGGATGACAACTAAAGTCAGAGAGGTCCTTACAGCTGACAGGCTCGGACCTGACCGAGGCAACGCCTTAAACATCTGTGGAGAAAACATCTGTCGTCCCTCCACCCTGCTGGAGCTGAGGGGATCTGCACCAAATCCAACAAAGCGTGAAGAGAAGGCAGGAAGCTGCTGCGACTCGTTGAATCAACACTCTGAACACTTTCTGTAAAAGGATCGCTTTGATCTGATGTTTTATCGTCATGACGACCCTTCAGCCAACGATCACGTCGCTTTATAACGACGCCTACAAAAGCACAAGAGCAGAAACTGAAGATCTGAGTTCATCATAAACATGCTGCTGCCTTTAAATCTGTACCGACACATGTATGTGACCTCTGACCTTTAGCATGTGACACACAGACTCCTCACTCTGCAGGATAAACACACACAACCAGGGGCTGTCCTCCAGACTGAAATAACACACTGAGGGATTATTATTACACACACACACACACACACACACACACACACACACACACACACACACACACACACACACACACACAGGTCTTTACAGGACATCACAGTGTGTGTTTCTATGCTTGTGAGGACCTTCAGGCTCTTTCTTAAAGGGTGAGTCTACCTATTTTTATAAATGTGAGCCATCAGTCTGATTCTGACGGCTGCTGTATTTATTTCACCATCCATGCTGAAAGCTTCCTGTTAATGAAAGTTTCCTGCTGGAGCCGCTGATAACGGCACAGAGAAGAAAAGATTGTGACAGCTGCTCCAGCTGCTGAAAGTGAAAGTGAACTCAAAGTGTCCCTCGACCATCAGGAGGAGGAGAAGCAGTGAGGGTGACTTCAGCAGAGCGGCGAGCCCGACAAAAATCCAAGCACGGCGTGGATCTACACGACATGCTGCATGCTCATTGGCTAATGACTCAATCATCTCCTGCTTCCTGTTTCTTTGTCGCTATTCGGTTGTTCAGTCTGACGTCACTAGCCGTGTCTGGGCCTAAACTGCAGGTCCATATATCAAACGATCACTGTGGCATTACTGAGAGTTGAAAAACTGTCTAAAGTCTTTCATCTTTAATAAAATGATCAGCGTTCTGCTCTACCAGGTGTAACAATTGAGTTTAGCATCCAGGCATCCATGAAAACGGAATTTATGACATTTAACGGAGTTAGAAGTTAGCAGGGAGTTAGCTCGCTAGCTTCTATCTAAATGCAATATAGCATGTCCTGACTGCGGGGTTTTGGAAACAAATTAAAACGTACAGCTCTCCTATCACTTCCAACATAAATGAAGACAGAAAACTAAACAGCAGTGATGTTTGTAGGGTTACTGAAGTTGGGCTAGCTGGTATATAATGATGTGCTACGTGACCGCTAGCGACACAGCTATGTTAGCATAATATAAACAAGCTAACTTTTTTTCCACTGGATAAAAGTTACCGTGAGTGTTCTCGGTGGTCAGGAACAAATGTAATCGCATGGCAGGATGCTGTAAAAGGACCAAACTTCAGCCAGGAGAACAACTGAGATAATCCATCCACAATACGAGGTTAGTCATTCATATACTGCTGCATGGGCTGGGCTGTAGCTACATCCTAAGGTTTTAAAAACTGAGCTTAAATAAATGATTAGCGGTAATAAAAGCCGAGGGAGGTCAACAGGGATCACTGACTGTTTTAGGAGCTTTTTGAGATTAAATAGAAGAAAATACAAAACATTAAACATGTTAACAACACAAAAGCAATATTAAACGCAGCTACTTTAGACCCGGAAGTAGGATTCGTCAGGTCATCACTTAACGACCGGATAATAAGGTCCTCATTTGCAAAGTAAACATGAGGCGGGCAGCAGGCTCACACACTCCGACTTTTACACAACTGCCAGAGGAGTTGCCCCCTACTGGAGATTAGAAAGAATACAGGTTTAAAGTAGCTGAGCACCGGCTGCGTCCATCTTCTCGTTTTTACTTGATCAGCTGATGTTACATTCCTGCAGTGCGGCTAACTGTCACTGCCTTCTTAATGTTACTGCTAGAACAATCACGCTAACTCAATTTTAGCAAAGTCGTGTCTAAAGTAAGTAAAACTATCACCATCACTGCTAAACACAAAAAAGTCCAGACTGAATTTAAAGTAAACTTTGTTTTTTACATTTTTGTCTTCACAATCAAATCCATGAACGACAGTTCTGCTCAGCATGTTCAAAGTTACTGAACAAGTTTTAAAGATTAGCTTCGGGGAGACGTAACTAAACATCATGAAGACAGTTTAAGACAGACAGAGTGTCCCTTCAACTGATGAATGAATCCCTGCCGGACCTCACAAGTACAGTAATACGTGTGTGTGTGTGTGTGTGTGTGTGTAGTGATCTGCTTCCATATGAAATTCCAGTGACGGTCACACATCACATCCTGCTTCTATTGTTTCACATCTGCGTTCTATTATTAGAGTCTCAATCCTCAGACCTCCATCAGCAGCTGCTTCAGCTCCTCCACCGACTCCACCAACGCTGCTCCACAGCTTCACCTCCTGAGCTCCGCCTCCCTGTCGCGCTGCTCATTCTGTCGTCTTTAATCTGAGGGGTTTTTCTGTTTTCTCAGTCTGAATAAATTCAGTGGCTCTAATCGACTCTGATCACTTCCATTGATGATCGCAAACAAACAGTACTGCTAAATAAAGTTTCTTTGAATTCAAAGAGAGCGTTCGGGGTTGCTGTGAAATGTAAACAAAGCCCTCCTCCTTCCTTTTTAACCAAATCATGTCAGAAAACCTTTCACTTCCTGTTGTGCTGTGTGTGTGACCTCTGACCTTCGTTTGCGAGGATGATGAATTTGGACGCCTTGATGACCTTCCCGTCCAGCGTCCAGGTGACAGTGACATCAGAAGCGGTGGCGAGGCGGCACTGCAGCCGGAGCCGCTGACCGTCCAGCACCGTCATGTCGCTCAGCTTCTCTACAAACTCCGGCGCCGCACCTCCTCCTCCTCCGGTGCTCTTCTTCTCATTAATCCCTCCATCCATGCAGTTGTTCACCTCCGCCTTCTCCCCATTCTTCTCGGGGCCCGTCGGGTTCTTCTTGTTGGCGAGGACAGAGCGGAAGTCGCCGGCGTTCTTCGTGGGCGTCTCTGCGGCCTTGCTGCTGTTGCTGCTTGTGGCGCCCTTCTTCCCCAGCACGCTACGGAAGTCGACCTGCGATGGGGAGTTCACCTTCTCCTCGCTCTTGGGTTTGACACCCTTGAGGTTGGCCTTAAAATCCATGTGGTGGCGCTGGTTGTGCTCGGTGGTGGCGGTGGCGGGGCCGGCCTCCCTCTGCTCGTCTCCCTCTTGGATGTTTTTGCCTTGAACGGCTCGGCGTCCAAGCAGCGAGCGGAAGTCCAGCTGCTGCGCCTCCCTCTGCCGCAGCTCCTCTTCACCCCGCTCCCTGGTTTCCACACAGCGTTTGAGGAGGCCTCTGGGAGCAGTGGTCTGGTCCTCCTCTTTTTTCTTCTTCTCTTCCCTGTGCAGGTGCGGGAGCTGCCGGTTCTCCTTCTGCTCCTCGTTGGCCTCCTGCCACTGCCGACTGACACCACTGCTGCTGCTTCTCTGCTCCACGCCTCCTCCTCCTTTGCCACCTCCTCTCAGCACCACGCTCCCACCAGCTGCTCCTCCTCCTGCTCCTCCTGCTGCTGCTGCCAGGCTGGATGAACAAGCACAGAGACAGATGGAGGGACAGAGAGAGAGCAAGAGGACAAGCTCCGCCCCCCAGGTCTTAGCTGGTGGGGTGGGAGGTGTGGGGGGGGGGACCTCGACTCAAATTGTTCATGTTACATCACAAGTGACTCAACTGCCCGAATATGGGCATGAGCAGAGGGAACACACACACACACACACACACACAAACACACACACACACACACAGATGTAAACAAAGAAAAAGCAGACTGAGGACACACTCCTCCTCCTCCTCCTCTGAAGCTGCTGACTCTTTTTCACAGTTTCATCAAACTAGAGCAAACGGGGTTTCTTCCAGCAAACACTCGCAGCAGAGTAAACACACAGAGGAAATACTGGCTCTGATTGGTCGGGGTGATATGGACGGATTAGAGAAGCTTTAGGGAATTTCTGGATAAATAACAGAAGGATGGAGGGAATGGTGGGTGGGTGTGAGGAGGGGGTGGAAACAGGAACAGAGAGCTGGGAATAGTGGGGGGGGGGGCTGACGGAGTCAGACTCTATGCTGATGATGCAGAGGTCTGTTTAGGGAACGAGACGTTTTAAAAACTCGTCAGGTTCAACCGATCACGCTCATACGGCACAGAAATCTGACTCCGCCCTGTTCAGCCAGCTGCAGGTGTCCAGGTGAGTGAGGTCTCACCTGCTGCCGTCCCGTCCTCTCCTGTCCTTTTCTCGTCTTTCGGTGACCGACAGCGTGGCCACAGCGCTGCACTCGCCCACGCTGTTCCTGAAACACAAAGTTTATCTTCTACATGCAGCACTCTCTCATCTTCTCACAGGCACTAAGACCATCTCCCACTTCCACGCCACTGATTCATCACAGCGGTGTTTTCATTCAGGCACTGCTGCACTGTGCTATTTGCAAAGTCAGACTTCATATGAGAAACTGATCCTTTTATCTCTCATTAATGGCACATAACATTTTCCCTTTAAGAGAGGAAAAGACACCAGGTAGGCTCCACTGGTCCTGATCAACAATGTTCAGAAACATTTGACTGAAATTACCCTGGAAGTTGTTGTCTTTGTTGTCTTTGTTAGCACTAATCACATTATGTCTTGATGCTCAATCATCCCTTCAGTCTCTGAATAAGTCACATTATGATGTGGGAAATCTGATATTTACTTTTATAGATCAACTGTTTGTCTTTTTCAGTCTGGCCAACCATTAGGCACCTTTCAATTCCTTGATGTTGGTTTGTGTTTCGGGTAAAGTGCAGCTTTACCGTCTCTCACAGTTTCTTCATGTTCACTGGCACCAGCACATCACGTATGATTTTCATGAAGGAGATTTCTCTTCTATTCTCATGTTACATAGTCATGCTTTGAATATGATGCAGACTGCTGTATGTGCTGGAGTGGATGATGAGGTTATGGATGGATAGATTATGGAGGGGGAGGGCTGGTGGTTCCTCTGTGAGTGTAATCCTCACTGCAGCTCTGTACTGTAGATCATCTGGGATTATTTCAGCATGTCTGCAGAATCTGTGTCTTTTTATGACATGTGAGTGTTTACAGTATCTGCGCCTGTCGATCTGTTACCTCAGGCTGATCAGGTACTCTCCGCCATGTTCCTTCTTCACTCGTCTGAAGAAGAAAACAGAGTTAGCTGTATCAGGTGTGGTTAGCTGCAGAGCGTGTGGTTTGTGTGTAACTGTAAACCTTATGAGCAGGGAGACGACGTCCTCTTTCTGCAGAAGTTCATAGTCGCCTCCGGAGGTCAGAGATCGGCTCGGGTCGGTTCTGGTCCAGGTGTACTGGGGAAACGGATCTCCGGCGATGGCACAGGACAGGAGAACATGCTGACCAACAGCAGCGCTCACCTCTTTGGGCTTGGTGATGAACCAGGGCTGGACGCCGTCCTGAGGCTCTGCAGAAAACCACAATAATAAATCTGGGTTTATATGGAGGTCGTGTGGTTGAGCCTCACATAGGAAACCCAACATATACACTGTAGATAGTGTCTGAACACAATGACACCAAAGTAGATCGGTCAGTGGTTGAGCTGCAGCACAGACATCCTCAGATACAGCTGGAGGGCTGACACAGACACTGACTGGACACAGAATAGAGTATGGAAACCAAAACCTGAGACCTACATAATCAAACACCAAGAATAACGGGGGGGGGGGGAAGAAATGCAAAACAGAAACCAAAAGCTTCACAAAAATAAACTAAGAAGAGAACACAAATAAAGGGTACAAAACAGAAACCACATTTTTGGGCCAAGGTGGATTTGGTATCAGGATCAGAAAGGCTGTGGGTTTGTAATTGTTGTGTTTGTGAACATTGCAAAAATCCCCACATTGGTGTCACTCAGGTCTCAGTGCAACTGCAGCATACCCTCCACCGTGAGCCGGGCCTGGGTCTGGTCCTCTCCATACTGGTTCCAGGCCTGGCAGCTGTAGGTCCCGGTGTCCTCGGGGAAAACCTCGTGGATCAGCAGAGTGCAGCGGGTTCCCTCTCTGAGGAGCTGGAAGTCCTCTGACTCGGTCACCTCCTGCCCATCGTGGAGCCACACCAGCTCTGGAGGAGGGTGACCTGAGGACCACACACAGCTTCATTCAAACATCAGGACACATCAGTGAAGACCAGTACGCACCAAAGATCCTTTTGAGAATTAAAGGAGTGGCAATATTTTGTTTATTTAATTTACATTTTAGTGTTGTTGAATCAAAAGTACTTTAAAAAAAGGCAGACTGGAAGCGCAGTTCCTCTGAAATCCAGCAGAGGCAGCAGTGAGTCAGTCCTCATAGACGTTAGCGTCATACACGAACTGATTGGTCTTCATGGATAATTATCCACCTTCATAACCCCTGTACAGGGGTAGGTGGTCTTTATAACTCACCTGTTTATTTGTTATTAGGGGCGTGGCCTCTTTGACTGACAGGTGGATGGTGACACAGGCGGCTGTAGCTGCTAACTGTTTGCTAGTTTCACCTAGTTTCACCTGAACTGGACCTCTGTGCAGTTGGAGCATTATTAATGACATCATCTGACCAATAACATGGCTGCTGTGAGGTCACTGTACCAACAGACCATCCAAGAAGGCGGAGCTTCAGTTTTGATGCACAGTGAAATTCAAGGATTGTGATTGGACGTTGAGCACTGATCAGCAGGTAACTCCATCAGCTCATCCAGATATGTCTGGCTGCAGGACTCATTATGTCAAGTACTGTCACAGCCGCCATTATTCAGATACAGTCAGTGATTTAAAGCTGTGGATGTAAAATTAGTTTAAATACTTTTCACATTTAGTAAGTAAGGCAAGGCAAGGCAAGGCAAGTTTATTTGTATAGCACAATTCAACAACAAGGTGATTCAAAGTGCTTTACAG